CTAGATTCACAGGCAGTTGTGAGAAACAACACAGAGAGATCCCATGTGCCATTTGCCCAGCTCCCTCAATGGTAGCATCTAGCAAAACTGCAGCCCAGTGTTACAGGAGGGTGCCATCTCTGATGGGGTCCAGATGCAGGGCATCCATCGCCCCAGGGCCTCCTGACACCGTTGTATAGCCACAGCCATCTCCATCTCTGCAGCCCCACCCCCAGACCTAACCCACAACCATGATCTGTTCTCCATCCCTCTACTGCCATCATTCCAAGAATGGTTTATCAGTGGACTCATGTGGTGTGTGACCTCACTCAGCACAGTCCCTGGAGATTCGTCCACGTCGTTCTGATCGGTCGTTCATACCTTTTCACTGCTGAGTGGTGTTTCACGGTAAGGCTGTGCCACAGTTTCTGTAACCGTTGACCCTTTCGAGGACTTATGGGTTGTGCCCAGCTTGGGGCTGTTATAAGTAGCTGCTACAACCATTTGTGTAAGTCTCCATTTCTGCGATGTGAGTGCCCAGGGTGTGGTTGCTGAGTTGTGTGGTGAGTGTATGTTCCGTTTCATGAGAAACTGCCCTCCTTTCTAGACTTGCGGTACCGTTTGACACTCCCCTAGCAGTGCAGGACGGTTTCTCTGCATCTTCGTCAGCATTTGGTGTTCACCATTTTTTATTTTAGCTGCTCCGACAGGCCTGTGGTGACGGTGTGCTTTGGCTTGTGCCGCCCTCACTCGCGGTGAGTCGCGCTGGACTTTTCTCTGGGCTGTTCTGCTTGTGCGCATCCTCTTCAGTGAGGCGTTTCCTTGTGTCTTCTGCTCATTTTCTCAGGGGACGTTCGTTTTTACTGGTGAGTTTGAGAATTCTTTATACGTTTTAGATCCTAGTCCTGTGTCAGTTATGTGGCTTGCAGATATTTCCTCCCACTCTGCAGCTTGTCTTTCTGTCCTCTTAGCAGAGCTTTGGCAGAGGAAAAATTTTTCATTTTATTGAGGTTCTATTTATCAGTTTCCTTTTCATGAGTTATGCATTTGGCGTCAAGTCTAACTCTTTGCCTAGTCCTGGATCCTAAAGATTTTCTCTTATGTTTTATTCTGAAGTTTTATAGTTTTATGTTTTATGTTAAGTCCGTGATCCATTTGGAGTTAATTTTGTACTAGGTATGCAACTTTAGGTTGGGGTCATTTTTTTGTGCCAGCACCATTTGTTGAAAAGGCTACTGTCTTTCGTCTGTTGTCTTGTTTTTGCATTTTTGTCAAAATTCTGTTGAGTATCTTTGTGGGTCTGTTTCTGGGTTCTCTGCCTGTTCCTTTGATCTGCAGGCGTTTCTGCCTTTTTCTTAATCTTGGGGGAAACATTCAGTCTTTCGCCTTTAGGTGCAATGTCAGCTGTAGGTGTTCTGTTGATGGTCTTTATCAGGTTGAGGAAGTTCCCCTCTCTTCCTACTTTTCTGTGAGTTTTGTCATGAGTAGGTGTTTAATTTTTCAGACGCTTCATCTCTATTGGTAGGATCGTGCCTTTTCTTCTTGGGCCTCTCATTCAAGTTGTATTTCCCTTATTGGTAGAGTAACATTTCTCACTGCTTTCAAGACTTTGTCCTTGTCTTGAAGTTTGATTATGATGTGTATTAATGTGGATTTGGGGGATTTATCCTGTTTTGGATTCACTCAGCTTCTTGAATCTGAAAGTTTAATGTCTTTTGCCAAATTTGGCACATTTCCAGCTATTGTTCTCCAGGGACTTTTCCAGCTCTGCCATGTTTGCTCTCTTCTGCTGGGACGCCTGTGACTCAAGTGTTGACCCTTGTTACCCGCCCACGTATCCCTAAAGCTGTGTTTGTCGTTTCCTTCTCAGTCTCTGTCCTCTTGTCATTCAGATGGAGTGATTGCTGTGACTTCTCCCAGCTCAGGCATTGTTGCCTCCGTTGTGATGTTGAGTCTGTCCAATGTGTGTGTTTGGTTTTTATGTTTTTATTTATTCTTTGCATCTCCTGTTTCTCTGCTGAGGCTTTCTATTTGCTCATTTCAAGAGTGCTGGTAATTGCTGGTTGAAGCCTTTCATCATGAGGCTTAAAATCCTTGTCAGAGAATCCTTTTGTCTCCGTCATCTCAGAGTCGACATCTCCTGATGGTCTTTTTCATGCAGTTTGAGATCTTCCTGATCTTAGTATGATGAGTGATTTTCAGTTGAAACCCAGACAGTTTCACATCTCCTTATGAGAGACTGGACCTAATGTAAACCTTCTGTTCTGCTGGCTTCCTCTGGCTCTGCTCCAGCAGCAGAGGTGGAGGCACCACTCGGGTAGGGTTGGGGGAGTCCAGGCCCCCACTTGGCCTCTGTTGACGCCTGAGATGGCAGTCATTGTTACTGCTGGGTGGCCATGAGAGTTCCAGGTCCCCCCATGGTCACTGCTGACACGAGATGGTGTCCACATTACCACCAGGTGCTGGTGAAACCTCGCAGTCACTGCAGGGTGGGGGTGGACGTCCAGGCTGCCGCCGCCATGGTCTCCATTGACACTCAGTGGTCAGGGCTCATCCCTGACTGGTGTGGAGGAAGGTCCTAGCTCCCCACTTGGCATCTCTGGGACCACTGGCAGGGGCATTGGGGCTTGCCAGTGGGTCAAGGGGTACAGTTTCTGTGGTGTTGGCCTGAAGTAGAGCAGTTATTGTCTGAAGGTTTTTTGTCCAGCAAGGTGGCCCTTCTCCAGGTCCTGTCCTGGAGAGAGCAGGCTGCTCTGGGGGCTTTGTGTCTGCCTGTTTGTTTCTGGGTTGCCAGCCTCTGGGATGTCTGAGCAGAAAGGAGCGAGAGAAGTCACTGCTGTGCTTTCCTGGCCCTGGGGGCCCAGCCAGGCTGCCTTCTTCCCGCCCTCGGTCGTCTTCCCTGTTTATCTGTGAGGGTCTTGGGTTGTGTTTGTGGGAGGATAGAGAAAAGCAGAAGTCCAACTTTTGATTTCAGAAATGGACAGTGAATCTTGTGTTTTTTATTTCCTCTCACATTTACGTTCCTGTTTTTCGGGAGACGTGGGAGCAGCGTGGTGTAGGGGTGAGAGCTGGCCTTGCGGCTATAGGAGCCGCAAGCTTTTCGTCCTGTGGTTTGTCTACCAGTGTTTGCCCTGTTAGAAATTAAAATGGAGACATCTTTTAAATACTCATTTATTCATTCATTTTAAAATAATAATAAAATGTTACCTGTTAACATGACACTTTTTTAATGAAAAATAACTATTTTCCAAAGCAAAAAGAAATATAATGAGAAGTGTGGCTTATTTTGCATTTTTGGGAGTCACTCTGGCTCAGTGGAGGACAGTGGTCCCCCTGCCTGTGCATCAGCCTGTTGTCATCTGTTGTTTGGTGGAAATATAGGAAGAAATTCTGTCCCCCTCTACTGTGTCCTTGGAAAAGGGAGAATCTTGCAGATGCCCTGAGGGGTCTTGGGAGCCCTGGATTTGGTGACTCATCTACAGCATCTTACGACTGGAAGAGAATCGTGCCTTTGCTTGTGCACATGAAGTCGTCACACCTGTGGACGCTGCAGCCAGGGCCCCTCCCAGGCCTGCAGATCAGGTGCAGCCCAGGCTCCACGTAGGCTCCTGATCAGCTACCATACAGGGATATACTTGTTCTCACGTTTCGTGTTTTGGTTAAAACTATGAAACAGTTTTCTCTGAAGGGAGACTGTAGTATGTTTGCTTTTAGTAAAAAAATACTTTTGGCATTTTTCCATATTTACAGTAGGAGCTTTGGGTGGTTGGAGCTGACGGTAAGTGGGTGTGAACTGACGTGTGCCCTGGTGTCCACGTCGGAAGATGGGATATGAAGCATTTGAGCTGTGTGAATACTTGCTGGTGGGTTGGCCAGTGGTGAGGCTAGGAACATAGTCCGACTTGTGAATAAACAGAGACTAGCATTTTTTAGGTAGTCCTTTATATTCCTGGGTGAAAAAAATCTTCCCTTCATTAGATAACCTGTGGTTATCCTAATACATTGCTTCTGCCTAATTTTGTAGTTTAGATTTTAATACCCCCATTTTTCTTCAGAAAGTTTTAGTGCCTTGTCTTCCGTGTCTTAGCAAGTGAGCATGTGGTTGGTGATGGCAATGAGGTGCTGGAAGCTTCCTTGCTTGGCTCCCGACCCCACAAAGCAACTGACCCTAGAAAATGCCAGCTGTCACAGAAACCCCTTTAAATTCTGACAGTCATGACATACTTAAAAGCACGGCCACGAGACCTGACGCGAGGAGATGAAGCGTGTCTGTAGAGGGAGCTCTGAGAGCCTGTCTCAGATGAGCTGTAATTGTGACACAACAGAGGAAGCACTGGGACTTGAGCATGCTGTTGGCACTGGCACAGGAGCATCCTTGAAATAGAAGCTTCCTCTTTGCTACAGTGACATTTAATAATTTAAGAAAACTGGCGGACATCATTCTGAACCCTCCCTCCCTGGCTTTCATGGGCACGTGACTTTAACTTCAGCCCAGTACAGTCCATTTTCTTAAATTCACTGTCACATTTTTTTCTATTTTTATAGCCTGGATAGTGTAGAAATGGTGGTTTGGTGTTTTGGTTTTTTTAATCTTAGGACTTGCTTGACCTTATTTTGAGGATAAAATAACATTTCCTGCTGGTTTCTAGGAAATTGTTCGTCGTCTCTCTTTGCATTTTCCCCTTTGTTCTAAAATGAGCAGAGCCAAACGGATGGTCTCTGTGAACATTGGTGGTTTTGTTGACAAAAGGAAGTAGGTGTTAGCTTTCAACAAGAGGAAACATAAGCACGATTGGTCACTCAGCCTGGCTCAGCTAGCAGATATTTGATTTAGTAAACAAAGCCTGATAAGCATAAGTAGGTACTATTGACAAGACCTGGTGTTTTTTCATAAGTAAAATACTCTCTGTTTGTATGTATTTGTTTGTTTACCTATTCCAAGAGTCAGGAATCTGATTCAGTACTGAAAAGGTGAATTCAAACTGACTTTCCTCATCTGGGCCCTATAAAATTCATTTCAGAGTTGTTCAGCCACATCAACAGCAGATGTTTGGTGAAGAGCTGCCAGATAATCAAGATGGAGAGCAGCCTGGTCCTTCTAGAAGAAAGCGACAGCCCAGCATGTCAGAGACAATGCCGCTGTACACACTGTGTAAGGAGGATTTAGAGAGTATGGACAAAGAGGTGAGACACCTGGCGTGCCAGGATGCGGTGCCCACAGACAGTGGCCATCGTCCTGGTGGCCGGCACCACTAGAACTTGTGTGCACCCGCGCATCCCAGGTAGAGCTGAAATTCTGTGCTCACGCACTGGTGTGTGTGGTTCTGGACTAGCACTTTTGTTTTTACTAAGAGATTTGCAACAATATTAAGTGATGTATCGGCAACATTTACCAATAAGAACACTTTTAAAAGTCAGGTTTGTGGTTCCATTGGTGGGGCCAACCGAGCGATTTTGTACCTCCCCTCTCTCCTCCCCAACCCGAAGGACACGTGACAACCTCTGAAATGGTCAATAATAAGGGAGTGCTCCTGGCATTCAGGGGGCCAGGGATGCTGCTGAACAGTCTGCAGTGCGTAGGACAGCCCCCCACAATGTCAGCAGTGCTAAGGGGGAGAAACTCTACATCACTGCCTTCTCGGGTGAACACACAGATTTTTAAAACACACACAAGTTACAACTGGCAATTTATTGTGGTATCTTGTTATTACACCATTAAATAGTTTTAGGCAATGTACGTGGAATTTGTGTTTTCTCAAATGCTTAATTGTGGGACTAATGATACTAGGAGCCTGAATCCATTTTGAGTCGAAGATTAACTACAGTGGGGATTTTCATTAGGACCAAAACCCTTCTAAACTACAAATAATCCTGTAAGTCAGTATTGTCATCTGTCTCCTCGTTCATCTTTAAAGACAACAGAAGCTTACATGTCGCCCTGTCCTTAGTCCCACTTGTCCCGTGTCCTGTGGGGCCCTCCCCCTAGGCCCTGTATGCCCCTCGCCTCCTGTCACCAGCCAGGCCCTTGAGGAAGGGGCACGCCTGTGGGGTTTGTAGGTGGTTTATATGTCGTTCTTGGGCTGACTGTTCTGTGAAAGGACCCCTGTAGAAACCACATCACTCATCTTGAGTCCTCATAGCTCCTCTTGGAGTTCCCAGCCAGGCCCCTGCTTAGGACGGAAGCTGTCCTCCTTCCCTCACGTCTTCGTTCTAGAGACAGATAACCAGCCACAGCTGCTCACCCATTTGGTGCTACTGTGTGGTTAGAAAGCGGTTTTCATGGGGAATGCTGGGGAGAGCACTTAAGTAGGAAAAGCAGCATTTCGGTTTATTTTCAGCAATAGCCAAAAAAATGTGAATGGGTATATTCAATGTACAATCTTGCTGGCAACTCAGATTATCATCTTCAGGGAACAGTTTGTCTTGTGAAGACCCTGTTTTCACATGTGGCAAATTCCTCTATTTACCGTTTTTTCTCTTTTTGAGCACTTAGCTGGTATGCATGCTGTTTTTTGTCTGGTAAAAATGTTTTCTCTAAAGCAATTTCCTCACTGTTACTTCTTTATCTCTAAGCCCAGACTCCTTGCTCTAGGATATTTCTTCCTCCTCCTAGGGCAAGCTACCGCCTAGGGGGCCCTGGGAAGTGATGACAGCAGGTGCCTCACCTCTCCTCCTGGCCGCCCATCCAGCCCACAGTCAGTTATGGCGGTTGTGTTTACTGCTGCAGCCCGTACAGACAGCGCCCAGTCAACTTGAAAGCAAACTCGCCTGTCTTTTCTCCTCAGAATGAGGGAGCAGTCAGAAGAATTGCAGTTTGGGATGTGCACGCTATGGCGGACTGCAGGAAAACCCAGAGAACACAGGACGAGCTGCTTTTATAGGGAAAGGGGGAGGGAGGGGCTGTTCTAGAGCAAGGTCCGTTAGGGAGAGGAACAGCTCCTCATTGGCTAGGCTGCAGCACTCCTCATTGCCTGGGCCATGGCGCTTCATTGGCTGGGCTGTTGCCAGGTAGGACAGCCCAGATTTCTCTCAGGTAGGGAGGGAAATCTTCCTTCGGTGGTATAGTACAATCTTCCTGTCCGAGGTGCAAACTGTGATAGGGCATGAGAGCTCCCCTCCAGGCCTTCCAGCTTAGTTAAGGTTTCTCTTATTACTTTCCACGTTTTCCCCTTTTGATCAAGGTCTTCCTCTGAGAGCATCACTGATGAACAGTCAGGTTCTCTGCACATGGTGGTCTTGTCCCCTGGTGCCAGGAAGGACCTTTCCTGGTTCTCGTGCCCCATTTTGGAGGGAGGGTGCATAGTGGTTAGAAACCATTTAAGCCACATTTGAGTAACAAGGAGGGTTAGGAGGGAGAACTCTCAGGCATTTTTCATTAAAGTCTGTATTTCTCCAAGGTCGTAGGCATTGGAGCTCATGTCAAAGTGCTGAGCTAACGTCACCTTACTGGGTACATCATTTTTACACAAGTTCGACTGGCAGTAGATATAGAACTTCACAACAAGTGTACAGAGTAAGGTTAAGAGCACTGCTATAGGCCCAGTCTGCAGGATGGTTCTAAACCAGGAGCCCAGACCTGAAGGTGCCAGCTGGACAAATCAAGACACTGGATTGTCAGGTGATATGTGTCTGCTCTCTAATCTTACATAACTGGGTTTCTACTTCCCCAGAGGCATTTAGGCATGTGCACCAGGAGGTTTTCACCACTGCACAGACACCTTCCTGCTCAGCAAGTAGATCATCAAGGGCCGTACAATTATCCAAAACTACCTTGGCCAATGAAATGAGTTAAGCGACCATTCCTGAGCTGAAATTGCGTTGACTCTAGAGTCAGCCAACCCTTCCAGAGTCAGGGAGAGGTTCCTCATCATTTGTTTGTTGGCACTCACTGCAATCCACAAGAGGAGCTCTTCCCACGGACGCAAATTCAGAGTCACAAATGCCTCCTAGGAGTTCTTGTTTGGGGCAGTGATGGAGATTAAATGTGTGAGACCAATGAGAGGTCTCTGGTTGGTCATGCAGAGAGAACAGGGCAGTGAATGTGGCAAGGGCACATCATCCTTGTATTCTCCAGCTGTCAAGGCACAAGTTTCCCAAGCATAAAGTCCATTACTGACACCACCACAGATGAAGATGTAACCAGGGGATGTGCATAAGGCCCCCGCATAAGTGACATCATCTGTAGACCCGTTCATCAGCATAGAGGCATTAGCATTACATAACCTACACTCAGGTGCTATGTTGTTACACACCAAGAGGCTGCCTAAATACATGGGTAGATCAAAAAATTTACAAATGGGTGCCGGCCCCGTGGCCAGGTGGTTAAGTTCGTGTGCTCCACTGCAGGCGGCCCAGTGTTTCATCAGTTTGAATCCTGGGCACGGACATGGCACCGCTCATCGAGCCACGCTGAGGCAGCATCCCACATGCCACAACTAGAAGGACCCACAACTAAGAATATACAACTATGTACCTGGGGGCTTTGGGGAGAAAAAAGGAAAAAAATGAAAATTTACAAATGGCCTGGGTTACATTGGTGGCCCCACATAATTTTTCATACAAATATTCAGAAGATCTTGTCGCCCCCCCCCCCCCCCGAAGTCTGGGTCAAATTAAAGCAAAGAACAAGTGTAGCTGGGCTTAGCTCCCTGACTCAGTAAAATGGGCCAGCAGATCAATTTAGACAAACAACAGCATCTGGAATCCCAGTGAAATTGCTTATAGGGTGAACTAAGGAGTCATTAGTGTTTTGGACAGATGGAGGTTTCTGACAGCAAATCCAGCAATCAGAGAAGTTTCCCCCTTTCGAAAGGGACTGGGAAATGCAAACAAGGACATTGTCCTTCCAGGAAAGGGAGGGAGAGAATAATGTAAGAAACCACAGTGGGAAGAGGGTATACAGGCCTGGTCTGGTCATCTTGGGAAAGCTGTCTGCCTCAGGTGTCAGCTGCTTCTCTTCTTAGTCAGTTTGATTTGGAGATCTCCAGTGTTTGTACAAGACCAGATGTTGGGTAGAGGCTTCTTGAGCTCTGAGATGAGTACCCAAGGCTCAAGTCCCTGAAGCTTGGCTGCCCTCTGCATAGTGAGAAGGGCCTATTACAGTCCCTTCTGAGGAAATTTCAAGGGAGTGACATTGGAAATATCAGTTTGGAGTATTGTAGCTAAGCGTTTAAGGAAACTGGAAGAATTTAGGATCCAGTCCAGTTTACAGATATAACAAAACCTTAAGGACAATTAATAAGTAGAATTTAATATCTACAGAAGTGCAAACATAATTCCTTTCTCCACAATAACCGCCATTTTTTAAATAAAGATAATCATAGTAAAACCAACTTGTTTGTATTAAACTTGGCCTGATTATGTATATAAAATGCAGCAAAAATAGTGATTGACCATATGAACTGTTTTTTAAGATTGCTATGCTGAAACCTTGTAAGTAAGGTACTAGGCCAGTTTTTCAAGTAGTTCCTTAAAGCTGTCTGGCGTAAGTCTTTCTTGAGTATAACATTCTAGTCAAAGCCTTGGTAATGTAGCCAATGTTTCCAATTGTGTTTTGTTACAAGGAGAACAGACCTTCCCTGAGCGCCCATGCAGATACGTACATTGTCATGAAAAGAGTATTCTTGAAAAGAGTACTCAAGAGTTTCCGAGTTCAGGAGGGATCAGGTAGAGAGAAAAAGTAAATGTTTCAACACTTATTGCAAAGAAACCCTTTACCAAACATAGATGGCTTAAAGGAGAGGAGAATAGGGGTCCTTGAAATCTGGCACACAGAACGTTAATCTGTCTTTCACTTGAGTTCCAGAAACTCACTCCCACTTCGGTGTTATGGTCTCTTAAAGTCATCAAAACCTGTATTCCAGAGGACTTGTCAACTTTTTTATGAATCTCTTTGAAAATGAAACATATCTGTAAAAGCATAAGAGTTAAACAGTAACGATCTATAACTGACAAAAGACTTTTTTTTAAAAAAAAGGCAATGGGTAAAATAGAATTCATAAAATTTGGGTGTTTTTGTGACATACATTTTAGATACTAACTAGAATTACAGGCAATAACATTATATTAGGACATATCAGATTTTTAGGAATTTTATATAATTTCTATAACATTTTTCAGTAACACCCATACAGTATAACCTAAAAAAGTTTATTATTGCTTATTTGACCATGCTTCTCATGTAA